CCTTCCCTAAGGTCCAGCTCTCACATCCGTAGGTTACTACAGGGAATACCATGGCTTTGACTAGGCGGATCTTTGTTGCCAGTTGATGTCTCTACTCTTTACTATTTTATCGAGCTGGACATTGCTCTCCTCCCAAGAAGTAAGTGTCTTCTGATTTCCTGGCCACAGTCTGCATCTGCAGTAATCTTTGCACCTAGAAATACAAAGTCTGTCACGGCCTCCACGGTTTCTCCCTCTATTTTCCAGTTGTCAATCATTCTTGTTGCCATAATCTTGGTTTTTTTTGATGTTTAGCTGCAACCCGGCTTTTGCGCTTTCTTCTTTCACCTTGATTAGAAGGCTCCTCAGCTCCTCCTCGCTTTCGGCCATCAGAGTGGTGTCATCTGCATATCTGAGGTTGTTAATGTTTCTTCCAGCAATTTTCACCCCAGCTTTGCATTCATCCAGTCCCGCACATCGCATGATGTGTTCTGCATACAAGTTAAAAAGGTTGGGTGAGAGGATGCAGTCTTGCCGTACGCCTTTCCCAATCTTGAACCAGTCTGTTGTTCCGTGGTCAGTTCTGACTGTTGCTACTTGGTCCTTGTACAGATTCCTCAGGAGAGAGACAAGGTGGCTTGGGATGCCCATCCCACCAAGAACTTGCCACAATTTATTATGATCCACACAGTCAAAGGCTTTAGAATAGTCAATGAAGCAAAAATAGATGTTTTTCTGAAACTCCCTGCCTTTCTCCATTATCCAGCGGATATTGACAATCTGTCATATACACCCTTTGAAAACACAAGGTATCAATGTAGAAATGAAAAGAAACGGTTCCAAGCTATTTACGAGCTTCTTTGGAAAATATAACTAATTTAGGGCTCCCCCTTGTTGTGCCGTTTTAATGCTTCCAATCATTGACCAAATAAACTGAAATAAATACAAATAAATACAAGAAATATAATAAATACATTAAATGCTAATCAAGGTGGCCAATTGAAACATTCACATTTGTTTACTGTTTACAGCACATAGAAGATGGCTTTGAAAGGCAGCAGATCACAGGAGCTGTCTTCATAGACCTGTCAGCAGCCTATGATACTGTGAACCACCGCCTCCTCCTGAGAAAAATGTATAATATCACAAAGGACGACCACCTCACCCGCCTCATAGGAAACCTGCTACAAAACAGGAGCTTTTTTGTTGAGTTCCAGGGCCAGAGAAGCAGATGGCGGAAACAGAAGAACGGCCTGTCTCAGGGAAGCGTGCTTGCTCCATCCATGTTCAACATCTACACAAATGACCAGCCACTGCCAGAAGGGACAGAGAGTTTCATCTATGCTGATGATCGTGCCATTACTGCTCAAGCAGGGAGCTTTCAGATGGTAGAACAGAAACTATCCGAAGCTCTAGGTGCTCTTACCGCCTATTACAGGGAAAACCAACTGATCCCTAATCCATCTAAAACACAGACATGTGCCTTTCACCTTAAGAACAGACAAGCAACCCAAGCTCTGAGGATTACCTGGGAAGGAATCCCACTGGAGCATTGCAGCGCACCCAAATACCTGGGAGTCACTCTGGACCATGCCCTGACCTACAAGAAGCACTGCCTGAACATCAAGCAAAAAGTGGGTGCTAGAAACAATATCATACGAAAGCTGACTGCTTGAGCGGTAATGGCACGATCATCAGCATAGATGAAGCTCTCTGTCCACTGTGGCTGGGGATCACAACCAGACACAGTGAAGACATCTGCCCTTGCGCTATGCTACTCTGCTGCTGAGTATGCATGCCCAGTGTGGAACACATCTCACCACACTAAAACAGTGGATGTGGCTCTGAATGAGACATGCCGCATTATCACTGGGTGTCTGCGCCCTACACCACTGGAGAAATTACACTGCTTAGCCAGTATTGCACCACCTGACATCCGCCGGGAAGTAGCAGCCAATAGTCAAAGGACCAAGGCAGTGACATCTCCAGCTCATCCCTTGTTTGGGTATCAGCCAGCACGTCAACGACTTAAACAAAGCCACAAAATGGAATCCACGGCATGCGAGTGGGGAGAAGAACAAACCACTGACCACCTGCTGCAATGTACCCTGAGCCCTGCCACATGCACAATGGAGGACCTTCTTGCGGCAACACCAGAGGCACTCCAAGTGGCCAGATACTGGTCAAAGGACATTTAACCAAATACCAAATTGGCAAAATCTCTGTTTTTTTTTCCTTTTTCTTTTTAATCTGTGTGTTTGTTTTGCTCTGTTAGAATTGTAATACAATGGTTGCTGATGATACGATAAATAAATAAATAAATAAATAAATAAAATATCTGTGGAATAATGTCCAGGGTGGGAGAAAGAATTCTTGTCTGTTTGAAGTAAGTGTGAATGTTACAATTGGCCACCTTGATTAGCGTTTAATGGTTTTCTTACCTCACAGGGGAATCCTTTGTTGGGAGGTGACTGCTGGACCACTCTAACAATGACCATATCGGACTACAAAGAGAAGCTATTGAAATCCACAAGCATGTGGACAATTTCAACAGAAAGGAAGAAACCATAAAAATGAACAAAATCTGGCTATCAGTATTTTAAAAACTCTAAAATCATAACAGTATTATTTATTTATCGTGTCATCAGCAACCAGACCATTGTATTACATTTCTAACAGAACAAAACAAACAGATAAAAAAACCACAAATTTTGCAAACTTGGTAGTTGATTAAATGTCCTTTGACCAGTAGTTGGCCACTTGGAGTGCCTCCGGTGTTGCTGCAAGAAGGTCCTCCATTGTGCATGTGGCAGGGCTCAGGTTGTATTGCAGCAGGTGGTCAGTGGTTTGCTCTTCTCCACACTCGCATGCCGTGGATTCCATTTTGTGGCCCCATTTCTTGAGGTTGGCTCTGCATCTCGTGGTGCCAGAGCGCAGTCTGTTCAGCGCCTTCCAAGTCGCCCAGTCTTCTGAGTGCCCAGGGGGGAGTCTCTCATCTGGTATCACCCATGAATTGAGGTGCTGGGTTTGGGCCTGCCACTTTTGGACTCTCGCTTGCTGGGGTGTTCCAGCGAGTGTCTCTGTAGATCTAAGAAAACTATGTCTTGATTTAAGTCGTTGACGTGCTGGCTGATACCCAAACAGGGGATGAGCTGGAGATGTCTCTGCCTTGGTCCTTTCACTATTGGCTGCTACTTCCCGGCGGATGTCAGGTGGTGCAATGCCGGCTAAGCAGTGTAATTTCTCCAGTGGTGTAGGGCAGACACCCCGTGATAATGCGGCATGTCTCATTAAGAGCCACATCCACTGTTTTAGTGTGGTGAGATGTGTTCCACACTGGGCACTCATACTCAGCAGCAAAGTAGCATAGCGCAAGGGCAGATGTCTGGGCATGTTTAGCCTGAAGAAGAGAAGGCTGAGAGGAGATATGATAGCCATGTTTAAATATGTGAGAGGAAGCCACAGGGAGGAGGGAGCAAGCCTGTTTTCTGCTTCCTTGGAGACTAGGACAGGAACAATGGCTTCAAACTACAAGAGAGGAGATTCCATCTGAACATTAGGAAGAACTTCCTGACTGTGAGAGCCGTTCAGCAGTGGAACTCTCTGCCCCGGAGTGTGGTGGAGGCTCCTTCTTTGGAAGCTTTTAAGCAGAGGCTGGATGGCCATCTGTCAGGGGTGATTTGAATGCAATATTCCTGCTTCTTGGCAGGGGGTTGGACTGGATGGCCCATGAGGTCTCTTCCAACTCTTTGATTCTATGATTCTATGATCAGCAGCAGAGTAGCATAGCGCAAGGGCAGATGTCTTCACTGTGTCTGGTTGTGATCCCCAGGTTGTGCCAGTCAGCTTTCGTATGATGTTGTTTCTAGCGCCCACTTTTTGTTTGATATTCAGGCAGATATATAAACCTCCCTTGCTTAGACCTCACAACCTCTGAGGTTGCCTGCCATAGATGCAGGTGAAACGTCAGGAGAAAGTGCTCCTGGAATATGTCTATACGGTCCAGAAAATTCACAGCAACCCAGTACTATAACTCACAACTACCATAGTAGACAAGCTTTTTAATTACAAGGTACATCCATGTTTTTTTTAAACAAAAATAAACTTTGAACTCAACAGCAATGTTTAAATTTATTTATTTTTAACAGTATTAAATTAGGTTAAATTATCTTTTTTTTTCCAATTCCACTTTTGAAACCAATCTAACAAGGAACAAAAAAAAAATTGAGACACACCACTGCAATATTAATTCCAAATATTTTTTTCCCTTTAAGTCAGATCTGTACAGCAAAAAAGTAGCAAAGAGTTAATGACCATTCTGACCATATACAGCAAAGCTAAGGGGACAAACGTCATCCTGTACATGAGAGGTCACAAAAAAAACCTTCACACCTTCTAATTTGCTCAGCTGTAACGACACACCCCAAACCATTTCTACCTACAGAGGAAAATTTGGTATGGAAAAAACAAAACCAATTTTGCTCGAAGTTCCCTTTTTGAGTTTCTCCTGCCTCATTTTCTTCTTCGTCTCTTGTACAAAATATTACATTTTTTTATATATATTTACAAAGGTCTTTGCACAACTAGAAAACAAGTTATGAATTACAATCAGGCTTGGCTATCCATTGATCTGGGGATTTAAATGGTTTTATCGCATAGTTTAAGGAGCTTTGCAAAATGGTGATTTCCTGCTTCTGACACGAACCTTAATTTTTTAAAAATTAATCAGTAACCTGCAAAGCGCAGCAGTATTCATTATTATTCAACTTTCCAGCTGCCCACAGCCAGAATTATTTACCTTTTGGAAGTACAGAACTGCCATCAAGTGCATGATTACATGCTTCCAGGAAATATAATTTATTTTTTTATTTTTTGGGGGTGGGGGGGGGGGGAATTTGGAAGCAAATTTTCATCTTCAGATAAAGTAAGTTAACATTAAGGCAGTGGTCAACAGGAAACGGGAGTGTGTTCAACACAATTTCATCGTTGCTCTATGATCATATATTAATTTACTATTACTCTTTTTCTTTTTTTTGAATGTCACTTTTGGACCCAGGTGAGAAAGTAGATAAAGGGGAGGCGGGCTTCCAAGCGACGATTTCCTATGGCTTACGGTTCAACTCCAGGCCTTCCTGCAAAAATGAGGTACGCAATCTAGACTTGTTGTCAGGTGGACACATCACAGCTGGCCACGAGCGTAAATGTTTGGGGAGGGCTCAGGAAGGAGAGTTGCCAAACCCAATTTTGAAACAGTGCCAAAAACTGGAGAGAAAGAGGGGGAAAGGGTAAGGTGGTTGTGGAGGGTGGGGCGGATAAGGAAAACTAGTCCAGAAAACAGAGAAGGATGTCCTTAGTAGTTTTCGACCCACTGTGCGAGGCCACTCTCCACCAAGGTTCTGTTGATAGACACCAACTGGAAAAGAAGATAAACAAGCCTGGATCAGCTGCTATTACACCACATTTGCAGACGAGATTATTTGAAGAGTTAATCAATGTAGTCCAGTGGTTCCCAACCTATTTTTGGGAACCACTGGACCACTTTTACCAGAGACCAGTTGACCAGGGACCAGTTGACCAGGGACATTTTGGCAAGGGACCATTTTGACGGGGGACCACTTGAACACGAACATCTTTGGCCACGGACCACTTTGACCAGGGACATCTTTGACAAGGGACCATTTTGACCGGGGACCACTTGAACCAGGGACCACTTTGACCAGGGACCACTTGAACACGAACATCTTTGGCCAGGGACCACTTTGACCAGGGACATCTTTGACAAAGGACCATTTTGACCAGGGACATCTTTGACAAAGGACCATTTTGACCGGGGACCATTTGAACCAGGGACCACTTTGACCAGGGACCACTTGAACACGAACATCTTTGGCCAGGGACCACTTTGACCAGGGACATCTTTGACAAGGGACCATTTTGACCAGGGACATCTTTGACAAAGGACCATTTTGACCGGGGACCACTTGAACCAGGGACCACTTTGACCAGGGACCACTTGAACACGAACATCTTTGGCCAGGGACCATTTTGACCGGGGACCACTTTGACCAGGGACCACTTGAACAGAAACATCTTTGACAAGGGACCATTTTGACCGGGGAACACTTGAACTAGGGACCACTTTGACCAGGGACCACTTGAACACGAACATCTTTGGCCAGGGACCACTTTGACCAGGGACATCTTTGACAAGGGACCATTTTGACCGGGGACCACTTGAACCAGGGACCACTTTGACCAGGGACCACTTGAACACGAACATCTTTGGCCAGGGACCACTTTGACCAGGAACATCTTTGACAAGGGACCATTTTGACCGGGGACCACTTGAACCCGGGAACACGAACATCTTTGGACAGGGACCACTTTGACCAGGGACCACTTGAACAGAAACATCTTTGACAAGGGACAATTTTGACCAGGGAACACTTGAACCAGGGACCACTTTGACCAGGGACCACGTGAACAGGGATATCGTTGGCCAGGGACCGCTTTGAACAGGGACCGCTTGAACAGGGACATCTTTGGCCAGGGACCACTTTGACCAGGGACCACTTGAACAGGAACATTTCTGACCAGGGACCATTTTGACCGGGAACCACTTGAACAGGAACATCTTTGACCAGGGACCACTCTCCAACATTAGTACCAAAAGGGTTACCAATCAGTTATTGGTTAACTTTAGATTTAGTTTGGTTACTTGGGGCGCTGATTCAGAAAACTGCATTGGATAGACCACATCAGCTCTAGTTTCTGATAGAGAACATATTCCATCCAGTAGTCACAATCTGCTCGCCCACAGAAAACCATCTTTAATAATCTAGAGCTGATGTGACAGTAGTAATCTTTTATGAGTACTCTCAACATTCCCGTTTTGCGAGACCAATCATTCTCGTTACCGTATGGCTTCAAGGCAACAGTGTAGTAATGGTGAGGCCGAGGACCACATTTTCCTTCTTGTGTACTACTGGTGATCCATGGACCACTGTTGGGAACCACTGATGAAGTTCCTCTAGGAATCTCTAGGTACACAGGAAGTTGATCACATATTGGAGCTGGAGAACCTAGAGGTTCCTAAAGAGAACATGTCCATAGCCATTGTTGAGTTTTCCAGCGTGAGTATGTGACTCTGTGATCACAGGGTTACACTGGTAGACCCAGAGATTCCTAGAAAACTATAGTATTCTCTCTTTTTTTCCTCTTCCATGCAGGTTCTGTGCCCCCAACCCAATGAACATGGAGTACCTACTGAAATACTGTGCCGGGCTGTTGAAAATTATGGGAGACAAGGGACCATTTTGAAGTCTAAAACTCTTGGGAGGACCGAAGTTTGGCCACATCTGGTTTAGAGGCTTCAAAATTGGCTATGGACCACACATAATCCATAGATATACAGTTCCCACTCGGTTATACAGAAACTGAGAAGTCCAGTTCATTTATGCCAGTGGTTCCCAATCTTTGGTCCTCCAGGTAGTTTGGACTTCAGCTCACAAAATTCCTAATAGCTGGTAAGGCCACTGATTTATACAGAAATTCAACTAAATGCTCACTTTTTTATTATAACACTCTTAACCAAGAGACTACTAAGGATTGGACAAGAGGTCATTAGACTGGGTCAATTTATGCATTCGACACACACACGCACCCCTTCAATAACATACCTCGTCTCCTAACATGCTCCATAGTTGTATTAGAGGCAAGCCTGTTGCACTGTCACAATTCGTAACCTGGAAACAGAGAGGAGCATTTGGATTTCAAACAACGGATGGGCCAAGAAGCAGAGTTATGTATTTATGTATTTATGTATTATTTCCTATATTTATACCCTAGCCTTCTCCCCCCCCCCCCCCCCCGGGGGGGGGAGGGGAACTCAGGGCAGCCTCACAGCAAGTATCATAAACATAAAACATTTCAATACATACATTAAAACAGTTAATTAAACAATTGATTAGACACGCCAGTTAAAAACCAAATCCAAGTCTGGGTCCATTCATAGGTTGCCTGAGTCTTCTTTCCACTTGCTGCTAATCACTAATCAAACGCTTGGTCCCATAACCATGTCTTAAGTTTCCTTGTGAAAGACAGGAGGCAGGTTTCCAGTCTGATGTCCCTAGGGAGAGAGTTCCACTGTCAGGGGGCAACCGCTGAGAAGGCCCTGTCCCTCGTCCCCACCAATCGCATTCAGAGCCCCCAGTGGCGCAGTGGATTAAACCCCTGTGCCAGCAGGACTGAAGACCTACAGGTCGCAGGTTCGAATCCGGGGAGACGAGGATGAGTTCCCTCTACCAGCTCCAGCTCCTCATGCAGGGACATGAGAGAAGCCTCCCACAAGGATGATAAAACATCAAAACGTTCCCTAGGCAATGTCCTTGCAGACAGCCAATTCTCTCACACCAGAAGTGACTTGCAGATTCTCAAGTCTCTCCTGACACGACCAATCGTGTTTGCGATGGTGGTGGGATCGAGAGCAGGGCCTCTCCAGATGATCTTAAACTTCGTGATGGTTCATAACAGGAGATACGTTCTGCCATGTAGCCTGGGCCAGAACCGTTTAGAGCTTTAAAGGTTAAAACCAGCACTTTGAATTGTGCTCGGAAGCTGATCGGCTGCCATTGGAGCTGACATAACAGAGGGGTTGTGTGCTCCCTGTGCGCTGCTCCAGTGAGCAACCTGGCTTTCTGACCATTGGACTAGCCTATAAAGCCCTAAATGGTTCCGGCCCAGCTTATCTATCCGAACACATCTCTCCCTATGAACCCACCAAGAACCTGAGATCGTCGGAGGAGGCCCTGCTCTCGATCCCGCCTGCTTCACAAGCATGTTTGGTGGGGACAGGGCCTTATCTGTGGTGGCCCCTTGGCTGTGGAACTCCCTGCCTAGAGATATTAGATCGGCCCCCTCCCTCCGACCTTTTGAAAAAAGCTGAAAACTTGGCTCTTCAAGGAAGTATTTGGAGCCTCAGCATAATCAGACAAACTCAAATCGGAAAATGACCTAGGAATGGTTAAGATGATGGAACAGGCGAGGACTGAACATGAAGGCATAGCTTTAAATTTTTTTATTGTTCACTGTTTTTATGCTTTTAGATACATTGTGATGTGATTTTTTTTTCTATTTTTACTGATGCGTGTATTTTATATATGGCATCGAATTGTGCCGACTGTTCACCGCCCTGAGTCGCCTTCGGGCTGATATGGGCGGGATAGAAATAGCGTCAATAAATAAACAAATAATATCCAGAGCCAGGAGGACAAATTCCTCCTGAACATACAGGCAACGGCAGCACAATAAATGATGATTTGATTTCCATGTGACTGTCACCCTGCTTTTGGAGAGGAAACAATGATTTCTGATCACAGAATTCTGATTTCTGATTTTTTTAATGTTTTGTGTATATTGTTTCCTTAATGCTATTTTGTTTATTTTATTGCAATTTGTATCTTATTGTAATTTGTTGTTTGGGCTTGGCCTCATGTAAGCTGCCCCAAGTCGCCATTGGGGAGATGGTGGCGGGTATAAATAAAGTATTATTATTATTATTATTATTATTATTATTATTATTATTATTATTGTTATTATGTTTATTATTATTCTAACTCTTGCCTCAAACTTCTCAAAAACTGAATGCAACCCGAACTGAGAAGCAGCCGTTCCACATACCTGTGCAAGCAGGGGAGTCCCTCTGGTCATTTCACTAACTGTTGTGTCTGCTTCGGGTGAAAAGTTATCGTCACCTTTTCAGGAAAGGAGAGAAGAAAATAATTAAAAGTAATTCGAATATCTTACCAAATGCAGAAATGTTGTATTTTTGGAATGGGCATGAGAGTATAATAAATCCAATGGGATTTTGGCCTGCATAAATAAGAGTCTAGTGTCTAGATCCAGGGAAATCATACTATCCATGGTCTATTCTGCCTTGGTCAGACCACACCTGGAATCACACTGTGTCCAATTCTGGGCACTGCAATTGAAGGGAGATGTTGACTCTAAGCTGGAATGTGTCCAGAGGAGGGCAACTAAAATGATCAAGGATCTGGAGAACAAGCCCTATTAGGAGCGGCTTAAAGAGCTGGGCATGCTTAGCCTGCAGAAGAGAAGGCGGAGAGAAGACATGATTATGAGGGCCATGGATCAAGATGTGAAGTTTGGGTATCTGCCAGCACGTCAACGACTTAAATCTAGAAATAGTTTTCTAAGATCTACAGAGACACTTGTTGGAACACCTCAGCAAGCGAGAGTCCAAAAGTGGCAGGCTCAAACCCAGAACCTCAACCAATGGCTGATACCAAATGAGAGACTCCCCATCCCGGGCACACAGAGGACTGGGTGACTTGGAAGGCGCTGAACAGACTGCGCTCTGTCATAGCCATGTATAAATATGTGAGAGGAAGCCACAGGGAGGAGGGAGCAAGCTTGCTTTCTGCTGCCCTGGAGACTAGGACGCAATGGAGCAATGGCTTCAAATTACAAGAAGGGAGATTCCATCTGAACATTAGAAAGAACTTCCTGACTATGAGAGCCGTTCAGCAGTGGAACTCTCTGCCCCGGAGTGTGGTGGGGGCTCCTTCTTTGGAGACTTTTAAACAGAGGCTGGATGGCTATCTGTTGGGGGTGCTTTGCTTGCAATTTTCCTGCTTCTTGGCAGAATGGGGTTGGACTGGTCTCTTCCAGGTCTCTTCCAACTCAAGGATTCTATGATTCTATATAAAGCCTGAACTCTCACTAGATGCCTAAAGGCTGCCATCTTGATAGAATCATAGAATCATAGAGTTGGAAGAGACCTCATGGGCCATCCAGTCCAACCCCCTGCCAAGAAGCAGGAAAATTGCATTCAAAGCACCCCTGACAGATGGCCATCTAGCCTCTGTTTCAAAGTTTCCAAAGAAGGAGGCTCCACCACACTCCGGGGCAGAGAGTTCCACTGCTGAACGGCTCTCACAGTCAGGAAGTTCTTCCTAATGTTCAGATGGAATCTCCTCTCTTGTAGTTTGAAGCCATTGTTCCGTCCTAGTCTCCAGGGAAGCAGAAAACAAGCTTGCTCCCTCCTCCCTGTGGCTTCCTCTCACATATTTATACATGGCTCTCATATCTCCTCTCAGCCTTCTCTTCTTCAGGCTAAACATGCCCAGCTCCTTAAGCCGCTCCTCATAGGGCTTGTTCTCCAGACCCTTGATCATTTTAGTCGCTCTCCTCTGGACACATTCCAGCTTGTCAATATCTCCCTTGAATTGTGGTGCCCAGAATTGGACACAATATTCCAGGTGTGGTCTAACCAAAGCAGAATAGAGGGGTAGCATGACTTCCTCAGATCTAGACACTATGCTCCTATTGATGCAGGCCAAAATCCCATTGGCTTTTTTTGCCGCCACATCACATTGTTGGCTCATGTTTAACTTGTTGTCCACAAGGACCCAAGATCTTTTTCACACGTACTGCTCTCGAGTCAGGCCTCCCCCATTCTGTATCTTTGCATTTCGTTTTTCCTGCCTAAGTGGAGTATCTTGCATTTGTCCCTGTTGAATTTCATTTTGTTAGTTTTGGCCAATCATCTCTCTAATCTGTCAAGATGGTTTTGAATTCTGCATCTCGTATTCACAGGAGCATCTCTTATTCACTCCAAATAAATTGCCGCAACTAGAGATTGGTATTACCTGGCAGTGGAACTACATTGTCCAGCAGGACTTCTGCTCCTTGGAAAGGTAGTGTTACAAAGTCAGACCTATTAAAAAAATAGAAATGCAACAGATTATCTGCATTATGGAGTTCAATTATGAAATCCTCAAGAGAAGCTACCGAAATCCACTCATAGAAAAAGACAAAGTGGGGAGCTCCATTGATCAGTGGCAGACACGGGTCTTGTGGTGCTGCCAACCTTTCTTTCTGAGTAAGTTCCCACTGTTTTTATTTCAAAGGTGGGGCTAGAAGAGGTGCTGCAAACTCCACAACAAACACCCTGAGCAGTCATTCTTTAAGACTTAAGGACATTGCCTGAGGTATGCAAGGTAAACAACAGCTAACCAGGAGTCCATATCCATGGCACACATTCTGCCATCAGTTGATTGGACAGGTTTATCCACTTTCCCCATTTGGGTTTCCCATAGCCTCAGAAGGGAGTTGGCCAACTGACCTGATTTGCCTAAGGGTGTCGATCTTGACTCTCTCATATCCGCCATAGTCCACGTATCTGATCTCCACTTCGCCGACGTCTTTGAAGTATCCCACCACTTGTGCCCGCCACCAGGCCCCTTCCACTCCCGGCGCTGCACAGATGGCACCAACTGAAGAGCAGGAAAATTGAGAACGGGTCAGGCACAAGTGCTACCAATAGGCAGATTGATAACAACGCTGCTTACTGCACTCTGAAATCTCAAAATTTCTTCACCTAATGGTTCAATGATTTCTTCCTGTGCCAATGTCATTGGTTTATTTATTTATTGACGACATTTATATGCTGCCCTCCTAACCCCGAAGGGGACTCACAGCAGATTACAAATATATATACATACAATATATTGTATTACTAGCCGTCCCCTGCCACGCGGTGCTGTGGCCCACATGGGGGTTCTGTATGGGAGGTTTGGCCCAATTCGATCGTTGGTGGGGTTCAGAATGCTCTGTGATTGTAGGTGAGCTATAAATCCCAGCAACTACAACTCCCAAATGCCAAGATTCTATTTTCCCCAAACTCCACCATTTGTTCACATTTGGGCATATTGAGTATTCGTGTAGACCAGGGGTCCTCAAACTAAGGCCCGGGGGCCGGATGTGGCCCTCCAAGGTCATTTACCCGGCCCTTGCTCAGGGTCAACCTAAGTCTGTAACGACTTGAAAGCACACAACAACAACAACAACAACAATCCTCTCTCATCAGCCAAAAGCAGGCCCACACTTCCCATTGAAATACTAATAAATTTATATGTGTTAAAATTGTTCTTCATTTTAATTATTGTATTGTTTTTACGTGGGTTTTGCACAACAAATAAGATATATACAGTGTGCATAGGAATCCATTCATGCTTTAATCCAGCCCTCCAACAGTTTGAGGGACTATGACCTGGCCCTCTGCTTAAAAAGTTTGAGGACCCCTGGTGTAGAGTTTGGTCCAGATCCATCATTGTTTGAGTCCACAGTGATCTCTGGATGTAGGTGAACTACAACTCCAAAACCAAAGGACACTGCCCACCAAACCCTTCCAGTATTTTCTGTTGATCATGGGAGAACTGCGTGCCAAGTTTGGTTCAATTCCATCGTTGGTGGGGTTCAGAGTGCTCTTTGATTGTAGGTGAACTATAAATCCCAGAAATTACAATTCCCAAATGACAAAATCATTTTTTGGAGTGAAGGACATACATTGGGTTGTTGGGTGTTGTTAGGTGTCTTGTGTCCAAATTTGGTGTCAATTCGTCCAGTGGTTTTTGAGTTCTGTTAATCCCACAAACGAACATTACATTTTTATTTATATAGATTAGCATAGTACAATATCAGTATTAAATATGACTGTATTGTACTATACCATCATATTGTACTATTATTTGTAATATTACAAATAATATAATATATAATTATATCATATTATTAGCAGTATTATGTCGCATTACATTATAATATTATAAATATATGTATATACAATATATTATATTATATTATATATTATATTATTATATTATTAGCATAGCACAGGAGACAAGATGGAACTGTCTCCTTCCCCCCCCCTCCGGTTTTCACTCTGGCCCAGTGCAGCAGTTGGTGCTGTGGGGAGGGGTCCCCAACTGATGACATATGCAGGAGACAAGATAGAACTGTCCCCTGGCCCCCTCTCTCTTCACTCTGGCCCAGAGCAGCAGTTGGTGCTGGAGGGAGGGGTCCCCAAATGACGACATATGCAGGAGGCAAGATGGAACTGTCCCCTGGCCCCCTCTCTCTTCACTCTGGCCCAGAGCAGCAGTTGGTGCTGGAGGGAGGGGTCCCCAAATGACGACATATGCAGGAGGCAAGATGGAACTGTCCCCTGGCCCCCTCTCTCTTCACTCTGGCCCAGAGCAGCAGTTGGTGCTGAGGGGAGGGGTCCCCAAATGATGACATATGCAGGAGACAAGATGGAACTGTCCCCTGGCCCCCTCTCTCTTCACTCTGGCCCAGAGCAGTTGGTGCTGGAGGGAGGGGTCCCCAAATGACGACATATGCAGGAGGCAAGATGGAACTGTCCCCTGGCCCCCTCTCTCTTCACTCTGGCCCAGAGTAGCAGTTGGTGCTGGAGGGAGGGGTCCCCAAATGACGACATATGCAGGAGGCAAGATGGAACTGTCCCCTGGCCCCCTTTCTCTTCACTCTGGCCCAGAGCAGCAGTTGGTGCTGAGGGGAGGGGTCCCCAACTGATGACATAAGCAGGAGGCAAGATGGAACTCACCTCTGGCCTTCCTAAATGTGAGACTGAGGTAGACATGGAAAGGAAGTGATTGCATTTCTGGGTCCGTGTGTTACTGAACCACAAGAAAGGAGGCTGGGCAAGGTTGTGGCTTCCTACACCTCCTTCGGGTATGAAGTGGGTCTACAAGTAGAGAAAAACATGGTACCATTGTTTGAATGTTGGACTTGCAAGTTACTTACCTTCCACTGGGGTTGGTAGGGTTGGAATCCCGGGCTGGGAATAACAGAGGAACATCTGCTGGTCTAGACTGCGAAGGACGTGGCACGTGGGGTGCATGTGCTGCTGCACAAATAGGTGTCCGGCATTCAGCTGGTTGACCACAATCACTTCCACAGTGACCCCTTCAGGAAGCATGAGCTACCAGAGGGAAGGGAGAGAAAGGAACTCAAATTCTACAAGTGGCATAGACACTGAGAACTTGGAAGCTATGGCCCTTGAGTACTCTAACTGGAGGTCAGCTGTGACCAGCAGTGCTGCAGAATTTGAAGAGGGCAAAAGAGAGAACTGTGGTAAGAGGAAAGTGTGTCAAGCCAACCCTGACCAGGTCTGCCTTTCATCTGGAAATTGATGCCCTCACTGTGGAAGAACATGCAGGTCACAAATAGGGCTCCACAGTCACCTACGTATCCACCGCCAAGACACTACACTTGGAAGGCCATCGTACTATGACAACGAGGGATCACCTAAGTAAGTGAGTATGTTGTAAGACCAAGTTCTAGGGCTTGCACATATTAGGGAATGGATTCTGATCCACAAAAGCTTGTGCTGTGACTTGTTGTGTCTTAGATACAGATATTTCCCTCCGGGCCCGCGCTTACCCAGGAGATCATGCGGAGGGAATGCAAAGGCAACAAAGGAGGGGGCGGCGTGTAGATGTTGGTGAGGCTCAGGTCTTTGAACTTCTTCCCAATCAAGCTCAGGGCTTTGTCAACATTTTGCTGAGAGCCTGCGAAAAGGAAAAGGGTGGGAGGAAACAATATTTCAGATAGGCATTTATGAAATACTAGCCATCCCCCTGCCACGCGTTGCTGTGGCTCAGTCTGTGTATATGTGTATATGTGTGTGTTTGCGTATATATATATGTGGTTTTGTGCATGCGTTGTAATGTATTTTTCTTTTTTTTTTTGCTTTTTAAGTCTCTTCTGCTGTATTTTTCAGTGTTTTTATGAGTGATGGTCACTTGTTCGCCTGATACATGTATTGTGTCCAAATTTGGTGTCAATTTGTCCAGTGGTTTTTGAGTTATGTTAATCCCACAAACGAACATTACATTGGGTTGTTGTTGGTTTTTTGGGCTCTATGGCCATGTTCTAGAAGCTTTCTCGCCTGAATCTATGGCAAGCACCGGGATTGTGGCGCAGCTGGCTGAGTGTCAGCTGCATTAAGATCACTCTGATCAAAAGGTCATGAGTTCAAAGCCAGCCCGGGTTGGAGTGGGTTTCCAACCAATTGTGTGTAGCCTGTTGCTGATCGAAAGGTTGACCTTTGCAACCCGAAAGACAGTTGCATCTGTCAAGTAGGAAAATTAGGTACCACCTTAAAGTGTGGGGAGGCTAAACTAACTAATTTATAAGGCCATAAAGAAGACTCCAGCAGGGGAAGCATGCGGGGAATGCGGAAGTACTTCATCAGTGTCACAGATGGACGATGAAAGCGACAGCTCCCCTGGCGACCCGAAAAGGTTAAATAGCCTATGTGTATGTCTGTATATGTTTGTATGTCAAATACTGGCATTGAATGTTTGCCATATATGTGTACACTGTAATCCACCCTGAGTCCCCTGCGGGGTGAGAAGGGTGGAATATAAAAGCTGTAAATAAATAAATAAATAAATAAAATAAGCATCCTCAGAGGTTGTGAGGTCTGTTGGAAACTAAGAAAATGGGGTTTACATATCTGTGGAATGTCCAGGGTGGGAGAAAGAACTCGTCTGCTTGAGGTGGGTGTGAATGATTCAATTGGGCACCTTGATTAGCATTTAATGACCTAGCAGTTTCAAGATCTGACTTCTTACTGGCTTCTAAAATCGTAACAGTAAACAAACTGTCAACCTTTTGATCAGAAAGATTTTCTGCAGCTGGTGGTTTAACCCGCTATGCTAAAGCCCGGCCACTACTCTTCTGCCATGTATAGGAAGAGCTTGGGAATTTGTTGTATCCTGGCTGGTGCTCTTTGCTGCTGTGCCTCAGGTGGTCTAATATCTTGGGCCAACTGTGAACATGTGCTGACATTAGCAGGTTTTTCTAACTGGGCACGAACCCACTTACCTTCTATATGGCAGATCTGGAAGTCCTGAGTGTAAGGTATGGTGGAAATGTAGATTTTGGCACCGGATGCTTGTTTCAGGAAGCTGACCGACCTCCCCTGTTTGCCTATCAGGCGACCAACTAAATGCTTCAGAAAACAATAAAACAAGTATATGCAATTAGGAGAATCAAGAAGTACTTTTTAAGGCTTATCAGAAGTGACAAAAAATAAAGTCAGGAAATCACATGCGTCCCCCCAGATCCCCTCAGTCATTTCCAAATTGTGTAAATTGCTATAATTTCCATGCAATTTGTATCCAAAAATTGTACCTAATCTGCAAAATCCACATATAAACACCCTAATAATAATAATAATAATAATAATAATAATAATAATAATAATAATAATAATAATATAAACACCCTAATAATAATAATAATAATAATAATAATAATAATAATAATAATAATAATACTTTATTTATACCCCGCCATCATCTCCCCAAGGGGACTCGGGGCGGCTTACATGAGGCCAAGCCCAAGAACACATCAGTAAAAACAAAACAGCAAGCAAATAAAACAATACAATTAATATAACTTACATATAAACAATAACACAGAGAATTTAAAACCTTATGGCCTATTTCGCATTCAGCTCCTACACAAGTGCTTTCTACACAAGGAGCACAAGTTTAGCCTGAAGAAGAGAAGGCTGAGAGGAGATATGATAGCCATGTATAAATATGTGAGAGGAAGCCACAGGGAAGAGGGAGCAAGCTTGTTTTCTGCTTCCTTGGAGACTAGGACGCGGAGCAATGGCTTCAAACTACAAGAGAGGAGATTCCATCTGAACATGAGGAAGAACTTCCTGACTGTGAGAGCCGTTCAGCAGTGGAACTCTCTGCCCCGGAGTGTGGTGGAGGCTCCTTCTTTGGAAGCTTTTAAGCAGAGGCTGGATGGCCATCTGCCAGGGGTGATTTGAATGCAATATTCCTGCTTCTTGGCAGGGGGTTGGACTGGATGGCCCATGAGGTCTCTTCCAACTCTTTGATTCTATGATTCTATGATTCCGGAGCCAAAGTAAAAGGTATAGGCTTCACTTTGATGTTTAAGTCCAGGTGTGTCCAACTTTGGGGCTGGTGCTCATCTCTATTTCTAAGCCGAAGAGCCAGCATTCACCGTAGACTCCCCCAAGGTCATGTGGCCGGCATGACTGCATGGAGTGTTGTTACCTTCCCGCAGAAGCGGTACCTACTGATCTACTCACATTTGCATGTTTTCAAACTGCTAGTTTGGCTGGGGCTAACAGCGGGAGCTCACTCAGCTCCTCTGATTCGATCTGCTGACCTTTAATCCACTGCGCCACTGGAGCCATATCCTGGCCAAAATTGAGGTTGCCTGTTTTGGAAAACCCTCCCCAGAGGAGACAGCAAGGCCTCTTCGTACTCTTTCCTCCCACTCCAAATGAAATCCCACAACTCGTTGAATTATTGCAATGGCAATTTCTATTCCAATTGTGTACTCGAAGTTTGTTTTTTTATGCGGCTTTGGACAGATCAATGTATAAATCGCAATTTAAGCAATATATATAATATAAAGATTGGGAACAAGAGTGTTTTGGATGTTACCTTTGGTATTTCTATCTCCCAGATAACAAGCTCTGTCTTAAGAGGGTCTGATCCAGTCTTTGAGTTCTGGCAGCTGCCATTCTTTCGGAGAGCGCACTCACTGTCCATGGAATCCATGCTATTTACATCTGAGTCTACAAGAGAGGACGAGAGGAGCATTGAACCACAGGAGTGAAATCTGTTGGAGCATGTAAAAATCAGCTGGTGAGTGTGTTAACTGAAAAATGCAAGGCACGAAGCTGATTGGTTGGGCCATACCCAGAAGCTAGCTGAGCCTGGGAGTTTTGGCAACAGTTACATGTTTAGCTTTTCTGTGCAGGAGCTTGCCAGGATAAGTCAGTATATTTTTTGCTTCTGAACTGCTGGAAGAAGAGTTTTCACATGAACACTTAAGGACCATTTGAATCTCTTTCAAAAGACATTGTGTGAGTCAATGTTCACATGACTATACCTATGTTGCTCTGCATAACAAAGAATAAACACCTTATTCTTTACTGAACATCTGCATGCCACATCTTTTCTCTAGCAAGACAGTGTGTGGATTGGTAAAGACGTGAACTACACGTGGTTTGCATTCCACCACAAAGTCCCAGGCCTGTTCTTAGAGGACATTCATGAAGCATACAGAGCAAAATAACAACTGTGCTGAGGAAGACCAGAGCTGAGTAGCAATCGCCAAGGATACTGTGTTATAGGTTACATGTACCTTGAATGTGCAGACCCACACAGGGCTAGGATGTCTGCAAAACGGTGTTATACATTATGGGATTTGGGCAACGGGGAAGAGGGATAGAGAGGGAGGGTTCCCAAAAACAACCTTGCAAGAACTCAACCACAGCATTCCAGGAAGGAAAACACACGAATTGAACATTTTGTGGGCCTGCCATGTGTTAATGTGGCCCAGTCTGTGTATATGTGTTTTGGGTGTGTATATATTTGTGTATAGGTGTGTTTGCGTAGATATATACTGTATATCAGGGGTCCTCAAACTATGGCCCGGGGGCCGGATACGGCCCTCCATGGTCATTTACCTGGCCCTCGCTCAGGGTCAAAATAAGTCTGAAATGACTTGAAAACACAACAACAACAAAAACAACAACAATCCTATCTCATCAGCCAAAAGCAGGCCCACACTTCCCATGGGAATACTAATAAGTTTAAAATTGTTCATTTTAATTATTGTATTGTTTTTAAGTGGGTTTCTTTGCACTACAAATAAGATGTGTGCAGGGTTGTTGTAGGTTTTTGGCCATGTTCTAGAGGCATTTTCTCCTGACGTTTCGCCTGCATCTATGGCAAGCATCCTCAGAGGTAGTGAGGTCTGTTGGAAGTAGGAAAAAGGGTTTATATATCTGTGGAATGACCAGGGTGGGACAAAGGACTCTTGTCTGTTGGATGTTTTCACTGGATGTTTTCACTGACCACCTTGATTACCATTTGTATATGTGTTTATGTGTGTATTTATATATTTGTGTATATGTGTATTTATATGGTTATGTGCATGAATTGTAACATTACATTTTTATTTATATAGATAGACTAGCAGTCCCCTGCCACACATTGCTGTGGCCCAGTCTGTGTGTGTATATGCATATATATTTGTGTATATATTTGTGTATATATGTGTGTTTGTGTATATATGTGGTTTTGCGCATGTGTTGCAATGTATTTTTTCTTTGTTTTTTGGCTTTTTAAGTCTCTTCTGCTGTGTTTTTCAGTGTTGTTTTGAGTGACTGTGGCCAAACCTTCCTTTCTTTCTTTCCTTCCCTTCCTCTTTTCCTTCTACTTTCCCTTTTTTCTTTCTTCCTTCTCTACCTGTTTCTTTTCTCCCTTCCTTTGCTCTTTGGTTCCATCCTTCCCTTCCTCTTTCTTTGTTTAGTTCCTTCTCTCCTTCCTTCCCTCTCTCTTTCCTTCCTTCTTTCTCTTTTTTATTTCCTTCTCTCCTTCCCTCCTTCTATTCCTCTTTCTATCCCTTCTTCTCTCCTTCCTTCCTTCCCCCTTTCTGGGTATATGTGTTTTGTGTGTGTATATATGCATATATGTGTGTGTATATATTTGTGTATGTGTGTTTGTGTATATATGTGGTTTTGTGCATGCATTGTAATAGGGGTTTTTTTTTGTTTTTTGGCTTTTTAAGTCTCTTCTGTGGTGTTTTTCAGTGTTTTATAAGTGACTAGCTGAGCCCTGCCATGCATTGCTGTGGCCCAGTCTGTGTATATGTGTTTTATGTGTGTATATATGTGTGCATGTGTGTGTGTGTATATATGTAGTTATGCGCATGCATTGTAATGATTTTTTTTTGGCTTTTTTAGTCTCTTCTGCTGTGTTTTCCAGTGTTTTTATGAGTGATGTGTGTGTGTATATTTGTATATATATGGTTTTGAGCATGCGTTGTAATGCATTTTTTTTGGTTTTTTAAGTGCCTTCCGCTGTGTTTTCTAGTGTTTTTACGAGTGATGTGTGTGTATATATTTGTATATATGTGGTTTTGTGCATGTGTTGTAATATATTGTATATATATTTGTGTATATATTTCTATATATGTGGTTTTGCACATGCATTGTAATATATTGTGTATGTATTTGTATATATATTTGTATATATATGGTTTTGCGCACCTCCTAGTTTTGCACACCTCCTAGTTCATGTGGCCAGCATGACTGCACGGAGCGCCGTTACCTTCCCACCGGAGCGGTACCTATTGATCTACTCACATTTGCATGTTTTTGAACTGCTAGGTAGGCAGAAGCTGGGGCTGACAGCAGGAGCTCACCCTGCTCCCTGAATCCAAACTCCTCTTCATGTCTTCTCTCAGCTTTCTCTTCTGCAGGCTAAACATGCCCAGCTCTTTAAGCCACTCCTCATAGGGCTTATGTGTGTGTGTATTTATTTTATATATTTTTATATATATGGTTTTGTGCATGTGTTGCAATGTAATTATTATTATTATTATTATTATTATTATTATTTTGCTTTTTAAGTCCCTTCTTCTGTGCTTTTCAGTGTTTTTATGAGTGATGGTCACTCGTTGGCCGGAGAGGTGCATTGTATCCAAATTTGGTGTCAATTCATCCAGTGGTTTTTGAGTTATGTTAATCCCACAAATGAATATTACCTTTTTATTTATATAGAGAGATGGGGAAGCAGCAGGAAGGCCTTACCTCCTGAGTGCTCTGCATCTGCTTCAACCGACCAGGCCTGCTCATGTCCCCGAGGGACGCACTCCTCCTTCAGCACCCCATTGCTATACGGCACCTTGTTTCCCGCTAGCGTAGAGGAGAACGGTTTTCTGCTCAGTGCCGACCTTTGCTCCAAGTCCTCATTGATGGGCATGTTCAACAGATCCAGGCATTGCTGCAAAGCAGGGGACAAAGGGATTTTCAAAAGGTCCTCTGCACTTGCCCCGTCTTCTGATGCGCATGCATTGCAGCCGGAATCTGAAGTGTGAGCATCTTCAATCTCCTCCTCCTGGTCTGTGGTCACGGCTTCGTCGCTGAGAGGCTGCCCAGTAAATAGAGAGTCCTGAGACTGACCAAAGGTGGGGTTTCCCAGGAGGCCATGTGTCAAGTGGCTAGAGAACACCGTATGGTCGGTACTTCCTTCTAGGAAGGGAGGTCGTTCTAAGGGAGGAACCTTCTCGGCTGCAGAGTCACTCATTGTGCTGCATTCCGCACTCGTGCACATCTTCTCCAGCTGTTTGTCAACACAACTGGCCCCTTGACAGATCCTGTCAGACACGTTGTTCACTGACCCAGAAAGAACTTCTTCGGTGGCAGCTTGGATGACATTGGAAATTATATGTATGGCAACTTGGTCAATGTTCTCGATTTCCTCTTTGTCCAACCTGATGCCTCCGATCTTCTCCTTCTCCAAACCGCCCTTCTGTCCCTCATCTCCATACCTGTAGTGGTTCAACATACTACCAGCCTTTGAACTGGACGTCTCTACTTCCCGTGACATCTCAACATCAGTGGTCTCCATCTCAACAGCAGCGCCACCATTCATCTCCTCCCTTTCAGTTTGATCTAATGGAGCTTTATGTGCCACATCAGAGCAGGGAATGGGCAAAGAGCCAGCACTAGGACACTGCTCTTCTTCGGAGTCGTTCCGGACTGTTAGATCTTCACCGTTATCTTCTGGTTTCTCCAAATGAGATGAGTCCAGCAGAACTCCCGTCATAAAAATGGCCTGGGGCACCTGGTCTGCAACTTGTGTGGAATCCAGCTTTGCCTCAGCAGTCATTTCATCCCTGCTGGAGCTTCCTATTTGTGCAGCTGGAGGGGAGGACTCCAGGACATGGGATCCCGATATACCTTGACACCTGATCATTTCTAGTTTTTCACTGTCGTCCCGAAGTCTGTTCAACTCAATGGTCGTTCTTGCATCAGCCTGTTCGTCTCTTTCTGAAGGATCCAAGCAACCAGCCTGCTGTTCTGATGGCGCTCGCGGTTCTCCTGAAGGCTCAACCGCGATGGATGACTGAGCAGCCTCTTTGGCTTCCAAAGGCAACAAGAGTTCATTACTTGGCGGTGTGTCTTCACCCAAATGGGACTCCTCCGCAGCGGAGACTAGCCTGTGCTCTTCCAAGCTGGGTAGGTCTTGCCTGTCGTGGTTGTTGGCTCGCTCTTTTCTACGCGAGGAAAACCACCACCATCCAATGAGTGCCAGCACCCCGGGTATGGCAAAGGGAAGGAAAGCGCGGAAGCGCAGCGCCATTTTTTTAATGACTCAGCAACAGCACCTAAAGGGTGGAGGGGAGAGAAGAAGAGTGCAAAATTGAGTTCAGTTTTCTCCTCTTAATTCTTTGCAAAACACTAAGCATGATTTGACTGCAAAAGAACGTTAAGACTTGATTCTTTACTCCCCTCACCCTGCAAAAGTGAAGCTATCCGAAGCTCTAGATCAGGGGTAGGGAACCTTTGGCCCTCCAGCTGTGGTGGACTTCAACTCCCACAATTCCTTGAGGCTCGGCATTGGGCCAAGGTAAGCCTTTGGGGCGAATGCCGAGCCTCAAGGAATTGTGGGAGTTGAAGTCCACCACAGCTGGAGGGCCAAAGGTTCCCTACCCCTGCTCTAGATGCTCATAGGAAATCTGCTACAAAACAGGAGCTTTTTTGGTGAGTTCCAGGGCCAGAGAAGCAGATGGCGGAAACAGAAGAACGGCCTGCCTCAGGGGAGCGTGCTTGCTCCATCCATGTTCAACATCTACACAAATGATCAGCCACTGCCAGAAGGGACAGAGAGCCTCATCTATGCAGATGATCATGCCATTACCACTCAAGCAGGGAGCTTTGAGATGGTTGAACAGAAGCTCTCCGAAGCTCTAGGTGCTCTTACTGCCTATTACAGGGAAAACCAGCTGATCCCTAATCCATCTAAAACACAGACATGTGCTTTTCATCTTAAGAACAGACAAGCATCCTGAGCTCTGAGGATCACCTGGGAAGGAATCCCACTGGAGCATTGCAGCACCCCCAAATACCTGGTGGGATGTTAGTACTGACTAATTAATTTTGGCCTCCATCCTTTATTATTTTCACATTTGTAATGTAAAGGCTATAATGAGTCGGTCCATCTTTGAGATGTGTATTAGCCTATACAAGTCAACCTAATGTATAAGTCGAGGGCACATTATTAACATTATTATTATTATTATTATTATCTTTATTTATACCCCGCAAAATCTCCCGAAGGACTCAATGCGGCTTACAAAGGCCAAGGCCACAACAAACAACAACATACAAATATAAGAGTAAAACTCATAGGCAAATAATAAAACATCAAGCAAAGACAATAAAACACTAAAAACAATGACACATGATGCATTTAAAATCTAAAAGGCCGGGCCAAATGTAATGGATAAAATTTAAAAGTGCTGAACTTGACAGGAGGTATGTAGAGGTTTTTTGGAGGTAGGTGCAATGTGCAGACAATCCTAGTCTCTAACAAAGTGCATTTGGGACATGATGCCAGGAGTCTCCTAATCTGGAAAGGCACACTAGAACAGCCAGGTCTTCAGGCTCTTCCTAAAGATTGCCAACGTTGGGGCTTGTCTGATGTCCTTGGGGAGAGAGTTCCAGAGTCGGGGGGCCACCATAGAGAAGGCCCTGTCCCTCGTCCCCACCAAAAGCACTTGCGACACAGGTGGGATCGTGAGCAGGGCCTCTCCAGATGATCGAAGGGAACGTGTGGGTTCATATATAGAGATGCGGTTACGCAGGTAGGTGGGTCCCAAACCGTTTAGGGCTTTGTAGGTGAGCACCTGCACCTTGAATTGGGACCGGAACATGAACGGCAGCCAATGGAGCTCCTTAAACAGGAGGGCTGACCTCTCTCTGTAAGGAGCACCAGTTAACAGCCTGGCTGCCGACCGTTGGACCAGTTGGAATTTCCAAGCCGTTTTCAAGGGCAGCCCCACTTAGAGCGCATTACAGTAGTCCAATCTAGAGGTGACCAAGGCATGGACCACCCTGGCCAGATCAGCCTTTATGAGGTATGGTCGCAGTTGGCGCATGAGTCTGAATTGTGCAAAAGCCCTCCCGGCCACCGCCGACGCCTGAGCCTCAAGCGTAAGTGATGAATCCAAGAGGACTCCCAAACTGCGGACCTGTGACTTCAGGGGGAGTGTAACCCCGTCCAACACAGGTTGCCACCCTATACCCTGATCCGGTTTACGATCGACCAGAAGGACCTCTGTCTTATTAGGATTGATCTTCAGCTTGTTCATCCTCATCCAGATAGCCACAGCGGCCAAGCACTCGTCCAGCACTCAGGGGCTTCCTTGGAGTTAATAATAATAATAATATTAATACTTTCCTCTTTCAAAAATCTTTAATGAAGCAGAGGTTGCATGGCCAGCCTTCAGGAGAACTTTTATTGGTGCATATCTCTGCATGGCAGGGATTGGACTACATGGCCCTTCTGGTGCCCCTTTCAACACTTGCACCCAAGCAATTCTACACAACTGACATTAAAAAGGATATGCGAAAGAACTGGACACAGAAAACCCCATCACAGACTGTTACGGATTAACTGAGCAACATGGACGTCACGTGAGTGGCTAAGCTCCCTTCTTTCCCTGGAAGGTCACGTTACTTGTTGCTCCGCAGCCTGGATGCGGCCCATCGTTGCTAGAAATCCTCAGGCCGCTTCATGCAACCAGAGGGTGAAAACGCTTGGTTTCTGCATCCTGAAGGTCTTAGGATTTCTTTTAAAGCATTTGGTCCTTAAAACTATGAAGACAATCTTCATACGTAGAGACGACAATAGTTACCAAAGTATGATCCCTGCATTATCCATTGTGGGGGGGGGGGGTGGGGTGGGGGGGGGGCGGGGGGTGGGGGGGGGGGGGTGGGGTGGTTGGTGGGGGGGGGGGGGTGGGGTGGGGGGGGGGGGGGGGGGGGGGGGGGTCTGTTGCGGGTCATTGGGGGGGGGGGGGGGGGGGTTGAACATGGTAGCCAGGATTTCGTTTCGGGGGGGGGGGGGGGGCCAAAAAAATTTTCAGGGGGGGGGGCGGGGGGGGGGGGGTTTGGGGGGGGGGGGGGGGGGGTGGGCAGCCCGACCACAAGAATGCATTGTGTCCAATTCTGGGCACCACAATTCAAGAGAGATATTGGCAAGCTGGAATGTGTCCAGAGGAGGGCGAATAAAATGATCAAGGGTCTGGAGAACAAGCCCTATGAGGAGCGGCTTAAGGAGGGCATGTTTAGCCTGAAGAAGAGAAGGCTGAGAGGAGATATGATAGCCATGTATAAATATGTGAGAGGAAAGCCACAGGGAGGAGGGAGCAAGCTTGTTTTCTGCTTCCCTGGAGACTAGGACGCGGAACAATGGCTTCAAACTACAAGAGAGGAGATTCCATCTGAACATGAGGAAGAACTTCCTGACTGTGAGAGCCGTTCAGCAGTGGAACTCTCTGCCCCGGAGTGTGGTGGAGGCTCCTTCTTTGGAAGCTTTTAAGCAGAGGCTAGATGGCCATCTGTCAGGGGTGATTTGAATGCAATATTCCTGCTTCTTGGCAGGGGGTTGGACTGGATGGCCCATGAGGTCTCTTCCAACTCTTTGATTCTATGATTCTATGAGTGATACACAACCCCTCTGTTACACTAGATCCACTGGCTGCCGATCAGCTTCCAAGCACAATTCAAAGTGCTGGTTTTAACCTTTAAAGCCCTAAACCAGTGTTTCTCAATCTGGGGGTCGTGACCCCTGTGGGGGTCATGAGGAGGTGTCAGAGGGGTCACCAAAGACCACCAGAAAACATAGTATTTTCTGTTGGTCATGGGGGTTCTGTGTGGAAAGTTTAGTCCAATTCTATCGGTGGGGTTCAGAATGCTGTTTCATTGTGGGTGAACTATAAATCCCAACAACTACAACTCCCAAATGGCAAGTTCTATTTTCTCCAAACTCTCCCAGTGTTCACATTGGGGCATATTGAGTATTTGTGCCAAGTTTGATCCAGTTCCATCATTTCTTGTGCCCACAGTGTTCTCTGGATGTAGGTGAACTACAACTCCAAAAACTCAAGGTCAATGTCAACCAGACCTTCCCAGTATTTTCTCTTGATCATGGGAGTTCTGTGTGTCAAGTTTGATTCAATTTCATCATTGGTGGAATTCAGAATACTCTTTGATTGTAGGTGAACTATAAATCCCAGCACCTACAACCCCCAAATGACAAAATCAATCCCTGTCCAACCCCACCAGTATTCAAATTTGGGTGTATTGGGTATTGGTGCCAAATTTGGTCCAGTGAATGAAAATACATCTTGCATATCAGATATTTACATTACGATTCATAACAATAGCAAAATTATAGTTATGAAGTAGCAACAAAAATAATGTTATGGTTGGGGGTCACCACAACATGAGGAACTGTATTAAGGGGTCGCGGCATTAGGAAGGTTGAGAACCACTGCCCTAAACTGTTCTGGCCCAGACTACCTGTCCAAACGTATCACCTGTTACGAACCATCACAACGTTTAAGATCATCTCGAGAGGCCCTGCGCTCGATCCCATTGCCATCGCAAACACGTCAGGTGGGGATGAGGGACAGGGCCTTCTCAGCAGAGGCCCCCCATTTGTGGAACGCTCTCTCCAGGGACATCAGACTGACCAATTCCCTCCTGTCCTTTAGAAAGAAACTTAAGACTTGGCTATGGGACCAAGCGTTTGACCAGTGAATCCCAGTCGTGTCAGGAGCGACTTGAGAAACTGCAAGTCGCTTCTGGTGTGAGAAAATTGGACGTTGCCCAGGGGATGCCTGGATGATTTGATATTTTTATCATCCTTGTGGGAGGCTTCTCTCATGTCCCCGCAATTGGGAGCTGGAGCTGATAGAGGGAGCTCATCTGCCTCTCCCTAGATTCGAACCTGCGACCTGTCAGTCTTCAGTCCTGCCGGCACAGGGGTTTAACCCACTGCGCCACCGGGGGCTCCGACCAGTGAATGGCAGCAAGGGAAAGAAGACTTAAGCAACTCAAGACAATGAATTGACCCGGACTTGGATTTTGGATTCTGATTTTTAATAGACGTGTTTTAATCTATTTTTTAATGTATTATTGAATGTTTTATGATACTGGCATCGTATGGTGCTTCTGTGAGGCCACTATGAGTCGTCGTCCCCCCCGTGGGTGAGAAGGGCGGGGTTATTATTATTTCTTATCAAAAGCATTGTATAAATTATTATAAAACTGATAAATATAGAAAGAGTGCAGGTGGCTAAATATCTTTTGACCAAAA